ATGCAATTGCCTTGGTGCCCAACGAAAATATTACAATGCATACAGGGGTCTAAATAAATGCATACATGGGTCTATATAAATGCATACAGGGGTCTATCTAAATGAATACCCCTGTAACATTGAATATCAACAGAAAGGGTAGACTTCAGTTTTAAAAATTTTTATTCCAGAATAATTCTCAATCTGACCTGCAAGTTTACATGCGGTTAGGGTTTCGAAACTGCATACCGTATACTTGCCAAGTAAGGAAAATCACATATTGCTAAATGGTATTAAAAAAATACTATATGGGGCTCATAAAATTCTGCAATGCTTTTGGATCATTTTGTATACTTCGTAAACAGCAGGAATAAACGGTCAGATACGATGGATGGACATTTCACGGTCTTAAAAACCTCATAATAACACATTTTCTAAACCGAGAGGTATTATTCTTTCAAGTATAAAATTTATAGAAGATATTAAATGCCAACAAATAGATACAAGGCAAAGACCACGAGACTAGCACGATTGAATAACGCCATTTAATTTCAGGAGCTCTTATTCAACTGCTATTAATAAGATAAAATAAACTGCCTAATTAAGTATTGATCTAGAAAGCTGAAACTTGATAGGTAAATAGCGTAAGAGCTATTCGTCCTAGATGCGGGTGTATGGTGAAGGGAAAGAGGAGGGCGGCGTAGTTATCTAAGCAAGGCAGTTCATGTCACAAAGAATCTTCTTGCGCCTTTTTTCTATAAGCTAAAATCGAATTTATAAGGACACCACAAAATAATGGGAAAAGCAATATCACTCAAGTAGCCATTTTTAACAAACGTGGTTTTGGTAGGTGGTTGCGAAGCTCAGTCAAAAGCCGGCATCTTGGTGTGACTGAAATATGTGGAGGCTGTGATGCACAATCACTAATATTAAAACGCCACCTAAGTGATCCATGCCATCGAAGACATATTTTAGAATTTCGGTTAACAATTCATGAGATAGGCCAGGTACTGCAAATGGTCAAATCTATCCTTAAGGTATGCAGGCTGCAATTATGGTACAGTCTTCGACCTATGTGCTACCCCAGGTATCCTGTAATGATACCAGACATATACGTACTGTTAGGGTTGGTCAGGTTGTTGCGTTGGGTTCCTGACTGAATCTACCTACTCTCTTTTATTTTGACTTGTTCTACAGCATAGATTGTAGTACAAAATCTCCAGGATACCCATTTTGGGGAAGTAATTTGAAAGCTAAGTGAGCGGCTGTCAAAGACAAGCAAGCGCTTCGGATACGTTCTCAAGGCACACCGGTGCTCGCCAAACTTTCGATATTTCCGATAGTCTGTCCCGAGTCATAAAAGCTCCAGCAGTAACCGCCTGGGGTGAACACCAGCTAAAAGCAGTGGTTTGACTGGTTTGTCATCCGCCTTTCTGCCATGCGAACTGCTATTTTGCAGGTTTGTGAAAAAATGGGCGGTTACCGTGATGGCTTGGGACTTAATTAGTTTTTGTGGTCTCTGTCTTCGGATTCCCATCGAGTGCATAAGATTCTGAGACCATTTCGCGCCTGAGGACGATGAAGGTAGCGCCCACAAGCCGCGTTCTAAATGTTGGTCTAAAGGTTGCTTTAAAGAACGGCCATCCTTTGTCCTAGTATCGGTTCTCTGTAGCTCCATGAGAGTTTTCTGACGTGCGCTCACATGCCCATTTGACTTCTGTCGCACAGGAAGTAGCCCTGACGGCTTTCGAGCAGAGCTTTAGCATTTTGGGGATATTGAACTTTGCACAATTGTGAAGTGTCGCGTGAATTC